GGCCTCCCCTCTCCCACTTAGTCCTGTTTCCAAGATCCTGCCCACCCGCTTGCCGGCCACCTGCTCAGCTGGGCTGGGCGGCCGGGGGAGGAGTGGGCCGGCTCTTCTGTTTGCCAAGGCAGCTGCGCCCTGGCCACTCCTTCACGTAGGACAGGAATGCAGAAAAATGCCCTTCCGAGCAGAAGATAAAAGAGGGGGAAGTTAGGGCAGCAGGCTCGCTGCCCCCGCTCTCATTTTTGCAGCAGATTTTCCTCTGCCCCTTGTCTCCCTGATCTCAGTGCCTTGGCAGGCAGGGAGGAGCCTTCTCACCATGGGTGCAGATCTGAGGCTGCATAGGTAGAAAGAGGGGCTCCTTGGCTCAGGCCCTTCCTCGCCCCATTTGAGGCTTTATGGGCCTGGCACTGTGCCCAGAGTTTTGTCGGAGTTGTCTCCCTTAATCGCCCCAACATAGCCAGGAGGTAGGTACTATTATTGACCCCATTTTTTAGGAGGAGACAGAGAGGTGCAGTGCTAAGTTCAATATCACACAGTAGTTGGAGGTGAGTCATGATCGGACCACAGGGCTTTGTGAGCCCAGAGCCCCTGCTTCTGAGGGTCACACTTTCCTGCCTTTGGAGGAGTCAGAAGAGCACGTGCAGGTGACCTGGGTCCTATTCACAGCCTCACTAGGAATATGCCTGCTCACTGAGGCCTCAGTCTCCTGCTCTGTTAAATGGGAGATCAGAATTCCAACTGAGGGCCCAGAAGAAGCTTAGCAGTGAACGTGCATTGAAGGGAGGATGCCTCCCGTGTGTGCGAGGCCTGTGTCCTCTGGATAAGTAGCTCTGAACTGGTTTTGATAAACTCCTCCCTCTGAGCATCTGCTAAAAGCCATGCATCCTTGCCCCAGAAAAACAAAAACGCACATATCTCCACTCAGAGGTGCAGGATGTCCCTCGAGTGTACAGGACCACTATAGCCTCGACCTTTAGTTAGAACCGGGGACTTACTCAACTCGGGGCTGTGTTCTGAGGAGGAAGTTCAGCATGTCTCTTATTTTACAGGCGGGGCTCTGAGGACCTCAGTTCTTGGAACAGAGTCAGGTTCATGGGACCTGTGACTTCTCTGTGCTCAGAGCCCCATGTGGTGCTCCATCAATGCTGATTTCCAGGGCGGGGTAGGCATCAGGCAGGACATCCCCAGAAGGTGGGCAAGACAGTGCCAAGTTGGCCGGAGCAGCATGTTAAATTAAAATACAGATTCCCTGGTCCCACACTCAGAGGTACCGATTTCGTAGGTCTGAACAGGCCTTAGAATATGTATTTTTTAAAGACCCCTCAAGGGATTCTGAAGCAGCCAGTTGGATAACCATTGATTTAAGGTCTTTACCTAGAATGGAATTTTATTTCTCTAGTGGAGAAATTATCTCCCTCCCTCCCATATTAACTGAACTCTAGCTTGAACTAAGCATGGACTGGATGCTGGTGAGCAGGACTGAACACAGTGCTGTATTTGGGAGTTTATAGCCTCCCTCCTTCCCTGCCCTTTCTCTCCCCAGAGTTCTCAGAATCTTTCCCAGAAGTGGCCACTTATACCATTCTCTCTCCTGGGCCTTTGAAAATCCCAGCTGAGCAGGGGACCTGAGCAGGGACCTGAAGCACTTCGGGTCCATCCCCTGCCTGGGGAGCATGGGCACCTTTGAGAGACACGTTGGGCCCTACTTTCTTCAGATGCCTGTTCCTATTCCTGACACCCTGACTGAAAAATCCCCTGCCTGTCTTATTTCAGCCCCTCTCACTGTTGCTCAAATCTACCTCCTGTTCTTACAAGTGACATCTCTGGAGTCCCAGTTGATAGCAGACACTGGGTACCTGGGCACAGGGATGTGGAAAAGAAAGTTCAAGTCCTGGCCCTTGGGAGCTCACTGTCGGGTGGGAGAGACAGACCAGATGAGCAGCCACAGACCTGGGCTGGATGGGGAGGTACTCGGTGTCTGGGAGCGCACACGAGAGGCCTGTAACAGGAGGCTCCCCAGGGAGGGTGCCCGGGTCTCACTGCTTCTCTCCAGGTGCAGGACAGGCGGGGGCTGCCCACCCCAGGGAGGGGCCGTTGCTGTGCGAGACTATCCTTCGGCCCTGAATTCTGGCTTTCTTCAGCTTTCCTAGCAGGTCATGTTTTCTAGTCTCTGGCCCCACTCCCAGCTCTTCCTTCTTCATTTTTCTCCACAGTGTCCCACCACTCCCTTCACACTCCCTTCATGCTGCCTGGACACAAAGCCAGTGACACGACGCCCGGGACGTGAGCGGAGAGGGCATCTGTGCCAGCCTGCTGGCTTCCTCAGTGCCTGCCAGCGTCCTCCCCTTTTCCCATCAGCCTCACCTTGGTGGCTGGAACCTGCTCGTATGCTTAGGAGGGGGGTCAAAGTTTGGAGGATATGATGGGGGGCGCCCACAGCAGGAAGTGGCAGACTCAGTGGTGGGGGAGACACCAAAAACCTGGGAACGCAAATATCTGAGTTCTAGAAACGGCCCTGCCTGGAATTCACTGTGTGACCTCAAGGAATTTATACTGAGCTATGCTGACCCTCAGTCTTGAGTCCCACTCCAGACTTAAGGAATCAGAATCTGCATTTTAGCAAGACACCCGGGTCATTTGTACGGACCTTAAAAATGGGGAAGCCTAGCCCTGCTGGTGTGGCTCAGTGGTTGAGTGTTGACCCATGAACCAAGTCTGATTCCCAGTCAGGGCACATGCCTGGGTCGGGGGCTCGATCCTTAGTAGGGGGTGTGCAGGAGGCAACCGATCGATATTTCTCTCTCATGGATGTTTCTATCTCTCTATCCCTCCCCCTTCCTCTCTTTCTAAAGTCAATAAAAACATATCTTTTAAAAAATAGGGAAGCCTGCCCCACAGACTTGCTTCTTGCCATTGGCCTGTGGTCAGGGTGGTAATGTTGGTGACCACAGTCATTGTCCAGCCCCTCAGGGGCTCCCTCGGTGATATGAAGGGGCTGGACCAGATGACCTTTGTGGTAGAGGGTACAACATGGCACCTAGCTGCCAGATCTAGCCCTGAAACTAGTTTTGTTTGGCCAGATCCTATGTTTACATTTTAAAAGATATGGTGCCAGTATTTAAAAATTGAGAAAATTTACATAAATACTTCCTTTGAGTTCTCTTCAACCACCAATACTTTGAGGATAAAATTTCAGGAACCCCCTAAAACATATGAAAAGATGCCCAGAGTCACTGTTAGCATGAGGATTATAAATCAGGTCTACACTGTGTTGCCATTTCCCACCTGTCTCACTAGCAAAGATAGGCAAGTTTGATGGCACCATGCTGGCAAGAGTGGAGGAAATGGTCCCCTTGGCAAAAGCTGGGAGAATGTCTAAGACTGCAAATCTCTCATTACCTATCAAAATTTTTGAACAACACCCACCCTTTGACCAAATAACACCGGCTCTAGAAATTTATCCACAAACACTTGCACATGTAGGAAATGTAATTCTAATGCACACGTAGAAGGTTAGTCATTGCGGCGCTGTTTGTAATGGCTACAGGTTGGAGCTGACCTAATTGCCCATCGACAGGAGATCGGCTCGGCAAATTACAGGACAGCCACATGACTGAATACAATATCGTGAGGAGCTCTTTGTGTAATGAGAGGAGGCTCGCTTAAATATCTCCTGGAAAATGGAGGGTACAGAACAGCTTGCAGGGTCCAGTAGCATTTGTGTGGGGGAGAGTGTCTGTGGAAACATGTTCTGGTAACACTGGCTGTCTCTGGGGAGGGGACCTCGGAGACAGGTCCAGTGGTGAGAGAGTCTTTTCACAATCTACACTTTTGTATCTTTTGAACTTTGAACCACGTCAATGTATTATCTACTCAAAGAACAAAAACCTAGAAACTTTCAGAGACCCAGATTCTGTGATTCTAATAATGTTTTACAGTTTGGTGAGCCTAACTTACTAGGACTCTGGAAGGCTCATCTCTCACGAGGCCGTTTCTAATAATCCATCGCCAGTGGTTCTCCTGGGTCTCCAGCCCTGCTCTGTCCCTGCATCGGCCGCAGCAGTCCTTGTGAGCTTGAGCAGCCCCACCTACCACAGTGCAGTTGCACAAACTCTAGCCTCCAGCGTCTCCTGGGGACACAGCCTTCGGGCCCAGCCTCACCTTCTTTCACTTCTCTGTCTTCCTAGGGGAGCCTTCTCGGTGGTTCGCAGGTGCGTGAAGGTGTTGGCTGGCCAGGAGTATGCTGCCAAGATCATCAACACCAAGAAACTCTCTGCCAGAGGTAGGTGGGAGATCCATGCCTTACCACCTTCGGGGCTCTCCTTCCCTTCACCCCTCCCTCTACCCCTTAGCTCAGAACCAGGGCCTGAGTCTGTCCCCATGGGTGATGCTGCTGGCAAGGGTGAGAGCTCTTCTTCCTGTGGGTATTATGAGAACAGACCCCTCCAGTTTCCTTCCTTGAGGGATCTAGGCTGGAGGTCACAGAGTTTCTGATAGGCCAAGCTCTCTGCCTCGACACCCAGGTCAAGGCTAAGATGTCAGGTGGGACTTCCTCTCCCTGCTTTTCTGCCACTCGTCTCCGTTCTCACCTCCAGACCTCTGTACCTGCAGTTGCCTCTGCCTGGATGCCCTTACCTGGCTCCTTAAAAGTCTGGCTCTTAATCAAGACCTTCAGTTCTCAGCTTAACGTCACATACTTTGAGAGACTTCCCTGACCCCTAAATTTGAGGGCATCTCCCCCATTTTATATCTCTTATTACTATTCACTCTCCTGTGGCTTTCCGCCAACCTGGACTTGACCCATTTACTGGCTTTGTTCCTTGTTTAACATCCATCTTTCCTCTTCACTTTAAATTCCGAGAGGGTAAGGAGGGTCTCATTCCCTGCTCAGTACCTAGGACAGCGCCCCGTATATCCAAGGTGCTCAACCAGTGTCCGGCCAACTCCAGGCGCTCTGCTTCAGCCACACCAGTCTGATCTCTGGTTCCCAATCATCTCTAGGACAGTGATTTCCAAACCTGTCCTCGTATTGGAATCTCCTGGAGAGCTTCAAACATTCTTGATGTCCAGGTCCCACCCCCAGAGGTTGTGACTTAATTAGCCTAGGGTGTCACCTGGGTTTTGGAAAAGACCCCCAGGTAATTCTAATTTGGAAGTGATCCTAGACCAGCAGCAGCAGCATCACCAAGAGATTACTAAAAATGCAAATTATTGATTCTAGACTTAAGAAATCAGTGTGCATTTAACAAGACACCCAGATGATTCAGGTGGACGTTAAAACTTGGGGAGGCTGCCTAGAGGTCTTGCTTCTTGGCTTTAGCATGTCATTAGGGCAGCAATGATGGTGACTGTGGTCAGTGTGTTGGGGAAAGTTACCTTCAAAGATTCAACCCCTGGTCTGAACGGTGTCTAAGCTACCTTGGGGGACCACTGGGTGGTGGAGGGAACTCTGGCGGGTGGTGGGTGCAGGTGTGAGCTGCGCAGCCCATGGCTTGTGCAGTGTGGGAGGCATCACATGCAGGGCTGGCATAGTGTCCAGGTGTTTGCCTGGCACAGGCAGCAGCTGTGTCTGTGCCAAGGCCCAGCAGGTGTGGGGCTCATGGAGGCTGGTACAGGATGTTCACACTGCCCCCTGCAGGCCTTCCAGCAGGCCCCGTGTTAGACCTCGTGTTGCTGTTTTTCATCTCTCAGGCTNAGCTTAACGTCACATACTTTGAGAGACTTCCCTGACCCCTAAATTTGAGGGCATCTCCCCCATTTTATATCTCTTATTACTATTCACTCTCCTGTGGCTTTCCGCCAACCTGGACTTGACCCATTTACTGGCTTTGTTCCTTGTTTAACATCCATCTTTCCTCTTCACTTTAAATTCCGAGAGGGTAAGGAGGGTCTCATTCCCTGCTCAGTACCTAGGACAGCGCCCCGTATATCCAAGGTGCTCAACCAGTGTCCGGCCAACTCCAGGCGCTCTGCTTCAGCCACACCAGTCTGATCTCTGGTTCCCAATCATCTCTAGGACAGTGATTTCCAAACCTGTCCTCGTATTGGAATCTCCTGGAGAGCTTCAAACATTCTTGATGTCCAGGTCCCACCCCCAGAGGTTGTGACTTAATTAGCCTAGGGTGTCACCTGGGTTTTGGAAAAGACCCCCAGGTAATTCTAATTTGGAAGTGATCCTAGACCAGCAGCAGCAGCATCACCAAGAGATTACTAAAAATGCAAATTATTGATTCTAGACTTAAGAAATCAGTGTGCATTTAACAAGACACCCAGATGATTCAGGTGGACGTTAAAACTTGGGGAGGCTGCCTAGAGGTCTTGCTTCTTGGCTTTAGCATNTAACAAGACACCCAGATGATTCAGGTGGATGTTAAAACTTGGGGAGGCTGCCTAGAGGTCTTGCTTCTTGGCTTTAGCATGTCATTAGGGCAGCAATGATGGTGACTGTGGTCAGTGTGTTGGGGAAAGTTACCTTCAAAGATTCAACCCCTGGTCTGAACGGTGTCTAAGCTACCTTGGGGGACCACTGGGTGGTGGAGGGAACTCTGGCGGGTGGTGGGTGCAGGTGTGAGCTGCGCAGCCCATGGCTTGTGCAGTGTGGGAGGCATCACATGCAGGGCTGGCATAGTGTCCAGGTGTTTGCCTGGCACAGGCAGCAGCTGTGTCTGTGCCAAGGCCCAGCAGGTGTGGGGCTCATGGAGGCTGGTACAGGATGTTCACACTGCCCCCTGCAGGCCTTCCAGCAGGCCCCGTGTTAGACCTCGTGTTGCTGTTTTTCATCTCTCAGGCTGAGTGTTGTTGGGAGCCCAGCACTTTCTCTTCATTACCAAAGTCCCCTGTAGGCAGACCAGTATCCTGCAGGGAGAAGAGGCTGGGTGGGCGGGGGAAGTTCTTTGAAAGCCCAGCTCCCCCCCCCCC